CATCTTCGGCTCTGCACCAGTAAGAAGATCTGGAAGAAAAAGCAGCCAACTCAATAATGGAAAGACATTTGGGGTTTGATAGACAGATTAATGGTTCAATTGACATCACAGTTCAACCCCTCAATCCTGGCAATGGTGTTACTGTTGCTATAGAACATGGCACTGACAGTCATTTCCACGCTGTCCTTGCCATCGAGTCACCTACCAGCAACCTCAGCTGCAATTTGGCAAAAACATGTCACTGAACCCAGGACTCTTCCAGTAAAGTTATGTGTGTAGCTTCACAAGTACTGCATGTTCAGACTACTAAACTATCCCCAGATGGCGACACTTGTTAGCTTATTACATAGCAAAGACAAGGCATTTTTATCCCTTATGTGACCTTCCCTCCGAGTTAAATCTTCAAATCTAACACCTTGTTCCACATTTTCTCCTATAAAGACTTGGCGATGCACATTCCAGATATATCACTGCACTGTAAAGCAGAAGTCTGGGGTTTTTTTAGCTGCGTTCTTTTCAGACTTCCCCAAATCCTTAACCAAATCAGTGTTCTCTATAAGAATAAACACTCAATTTTCCTCATTTCTAAAGATTAACCTGTGATTTAACTGCAAATTTGTGCATGCATCAGAGAATTGCTTTGTTCTAAAGAAACAGTTACCTGAAAACACTTAACTTTGAGCTTCCCTATGTGAAATTGGAGTCTTAAACATTTCCTCAAAGTTTGTAGTTAAGCCTTCAAAATATGTAGGATATAAAGACCACCTTGAAGCGAATACTTATTGTAAGGATTATCACAGTTGTAACAGGAACATTCCCACACTATTTGGGCCTAAACCTTCCCTAATTTGCTGTTTATAATCCTGTGCAGAACCAAAATTAATCAATCACCTTCACTTAATTTGGCTCTGGTTTCATTTATAGAACTCATGTTGTACACTGCCAGCATCCATTACTGAACTGACTGAATACTGATGGTATCAATCAACTGCTTTTCTAATCTACAGTGTTTGACTCAAGTTTATTTTCATTGTGCAGATAAACTGACAGCAATGATCTGCATATTAGTATCCCAAAAATAAGCAAGGATGTCATTCTCTGAATAGCTAAGTTCCTTTTACTAAGAGAGGGTACAAGGCAATGCAACTCCATTTTAACTACTCTAGCTGGTTCTCTTGACCTTTCACAGCATACCTACCTTCCTCTTATTGTGATAGGTGACATAAATAACAGCTACTAGGAAGGCAACTACAACCAGATGAAAAAAGAAATGGCCATCTTCTTCTTCTTCTTCCAACCCCGTGACAGAAACATCTTTTATCTTCTCATCAAGGCTCTTGATCTCCTCATTGTAATTACTAATGGTGTCAGAGTCATCGTCTTCTGGCATCTCTAGGCCTGGGTTGTACCTGGAATTTGACGTCACTTCATAAGGACCATAATCGTCTCCATCTGACTCTACAGTTTCTTTTATGATGGGTGGTGAACTATTTAGTGTGTCTTTCAAATCTGTTAGAAGATCCTCTTCCTCAATTTTAGTATCTTCAGAAGCATCAACATCAATCTGAGATACTGAACTAGCAGTCACCGCACGAGAGAGTGGTGGAGAACCCTCTCTTGCTGTAGATGGTTTTACTGCAGTCACCGAATTGACTCTGGCTGTTGTTGGTAAGTCCTCTTTCTTCGTTGGGTTTGCTTCTTCTCTGGTTTGAGTTATAGCCTGCAAGCTGTCTGTCAAATTCTGGGATCTACTCACTGTTTCATTCTCACTTCTAGAGGAAATATTGTCCTGGAGCACCTCTACTCTCACAGACTCTGAGAAAAGGATGAGAAACAGTCAGTATTAAGCACAAGGCATTAACCTGGGATACTTGAAAATTATTGCAAGGCATTCACTTGGCAGACAAGAAATCTGACTATGAACAGAGCATATTTCACACTGCAAACCTTTCAGAAATCCCACGCAGAAATACATACTCCTGTACTTTGGCAACTTCAAAAGAGAAGTCTTGAGTGGGGCAGGAATTAAAGCTTGGAAGCACATGCCAAAATGTCCCTGAAAAATTGAATATGCATGTGTTCCACACTCAGAACTTCAGAGACATGTTCTCCCCTCCCTCTGTGGGTTTATGGTGTCTTGTAGAATAGCACTTTCTCCATCATCATTCTCTTTCTCCCATAGAATTTGCTGCGGTCTACAGAGGAAGAAGTTCTCAGAAAGCTTTTCCTGCAGTTCAGAGTTTTTAATCCTTCACCACTGCATATTTTACCAACAAAAGGAGAACACGTTGTGATGTCTCCTCCAGGCAGGACACAAGGTCCTGGCACCTCTTCCCAGGCACTTATTTTTACTGGATTTGTAGAACACAGAATGATTTCCAACCTTATGTTAACTCAGAGGGAAGTACTGAAGCACGGCTTATAAAACAAGCTGAAGAAAGGCCGATGTGACTGCACATGCTCCTGTAGGAAAGCCTTTTGTCAGCAGCAAATTGTTATAACCAAGTAAGTCAGTGACAGTGCTACGCAGCAACGCACCCTTAGGCAAATTCGTAATCACTGCAATGCCAGGACAGCTTTGCAGAACCACATAAAAACCAAGGTGAGCATTAAAACCACGTGCAGGGCCCATCATCCCTCTTCTCTACCCAATAGAAGGTGAAAAAAAGATGCAGAGGGAGTGTCTAAATAGCCAATGGGTTTTAATCCTAGAACAAAACAGCAAACTATTCCTGCTCGTAGCACATCACTTCCAGACTCAAATCAGAGGCCCCTTAAAAAGGAATAACACATTTGAGACTTCCAGCACATCATAATTTAAACAGTGGAGCCATTCTTGCTGTGTATTTTGGCAAACCACGCCAATTTTTAATCTTTCAGTTAAGAAAGTAACAACACTTTCATTAAGCACTCCCGAGGAGTTCCCTGGAAGGTTACAGGTTCCAGAAAAGAAGCATTCAACCAACTGTTTGTGTCAAATTACCCATAAGTAAAATATTATACAGGGGACACTGAATGATGTTATTCATGAATGGTGTATTTACACAGGGTCAGTTACAACAGGCTTCTTGTTTACATGGTACACTCTTGCACTACGAATTACTCTTTAACCAAAAAAAACAGAGAAGACACAACTAGTCCCATATGAACAAGGCATTATGGTGCCTCTGTGTTGAAGTCTAAGCAAAGTACTTAATATTTAACATACTTGCTGTTGAAGAAACTACTAGTCTGAATTATCACGCCAACATTAACTCGTTCAGTTCTTGTACGAGTTTAGGGAATTCTCATCCCCCCTCAGGAATCAAGCTGGCTAATTGTACAGGTGGCAAAAAATAGGAGGAAAATTTATGCAAGCTAGTTTCATATTTATAGCTAGGTGGCATGTGGGTAAAGCTAACTGCTACCCTCACCAAAAGTATTAGAGAGTAACAGCTAAATTGTTTGAAACACAGACAAGAGCGTTCTTCCTACAGAACTACACTGGGTTCTTAAACTTCAAGTTATTCTTAAACTCATTTTAGTGTGAAGGTTTTAGAAGGATACATGCTTAAATGCAAGGGACTCCCACCAGCTAATGCTGCAGCTTCAGAGTGAGAAAGAATAATTTCCTGTTATTCCCAAAAGAAGGTATTTTTTGTTTTACTAGGAGTAGCAAGTTTAGCAACTACACCACAGTTGACTTATGCTATCTACACAAAGCTATTTGGCATTATAAATGGTGGTTGCACTGTTTGCAGTTACACAACATGGTCAGATGATGTTACACATAGTGCCGGGGCTCCAGAGATGCCTCAGCTTCAGAAATAGATACTAATGTTCAGTCACAATGACAGGACTAACAACGCAGCCCTTTTAGTAAACACGGAGCAGAACAACACCTGACGGGGTCCAAGTTCACTTCCAGGAGAACTTGTTTTTAAGAAAGCAAGTTGTGCCATGACTGTTGACCTTCAAAACTCTTGGTTTCCTATAGGTTTGTGTCCCACATCCTGAACCTCTTCCTTACTGCCTACCCATCACACCAGGTGAGGGGCAACACAAACACAGCGGGTTTGGACATACTGGCTGTCAGGCAAGAAAGGAATTGACAGCTCAAAACTGCCCTCTTCATTTCCTTCCTCTTCACTACCCAACTCGTACTCCATCTAAAACCAACAAAGTCACTGCACTTGAAACACACATTTCTTATTAGCATGTGGTTACAGCTGGTTGAAGGGAAGTGGGAGAAAGAAAACGATCAGGCTGAACGGGGCTTGGGGCAACCTGCTCTAGGGGAAGGTGTCCCTGCCCGTGGCAGGGGGTTGGAGCTGGATGAGCTTTGAGGTCCCTTCGACCCAAACCAGTGTGCGAGTCTCTGACTTAACTAGGAGTCATCTTGCACAACAACGAGCTTATATGGGGTTAAGGGGCCTAAACACAGGCGCCCCATTAGAGTAACTGGAAGAAGATACTAACTCCGCTAAGCGAAGCAAGCGGCTACACCGACCTCCACCGCGGTAACACACG